TATATATATATATATATATATATATATATATATATTTTTGTGGGTTTTAGTCTAAACGTATCCTTTTAATAAAAAAATGTACTTACCTTTTATGCAGACTGAAATGAAATTCATTGTTGTAAGGTAGATCGCTTCGCCAATAAAATGCCAATAATCCACAAGCGAATAATGTATAACTGTCAAAGTGAATATAATCCAATGACAAGGTCTTCTCTGATACCGCAGCTAATTCGCTTTTCTTCTACACTTAAGAATTTCAAAATTTCAAAAAAAAAACCCTTTTTTTCTTTTAATATATATTAATGTTTTTTTCTTTTACGACAAGTTTTCAAGTTTTTGTTCGATTTCTATTTCATTGAATTTCATTCAATTAGTAAGAATTTCTATTAGTTTTATAAACTTGGTTTGTTACGACGTTAGTTAATGATGGTAGCACAAGCGCAGACAAAGGCAAACTGATCGATACAAGAAAAATTTTAAATTGATGATCATTGAGTCTTGAGACAAATGACTAAAATAAATTGTATTTGCGACGGGCAGCCGAGAGCATAGCCAGCCAATGAGCAGCAGTATCCGCAGTCAATAATCAATTGAGAGTTTATATGTATAAGCGCAGCACGAGAAAGTCTGCTTGCGTCTGCTTCGCTGCTCTTTTTTTCTTTTCTTTTAAATGCTGCTCTACGTGATTGTTAGCTAAACCGATCGATATAACTTGAATTGAATAAACCAAAAAAAAAAAAAGATAAAAACGAAAACGATGTTCGGTGAAGAGCCTTGGTCTTTTTTTTTCCTTCTTACTCTTCTTCTTCTTCTTTTAGTTAATAAAATATCTCAAGAGGATATGAGTAGAATTTGTTTGAGAAAAAAAAAAAGGAAAAAAGAAAACGGATTTTTAACCTTTATTTGATAACCTGAATGAACACGACTGCCTAACGTTAGCGAATAACTGGCTGGTGGATTGGATTGAGTTGATTTTATATTTTGATTTCGTAGATCGAATGTATTTACAGATCAAATCTAATGTTGTTTGTATTCCAGGTAAATCTCTTTCTTTTTTTTTTTTATTCTTCTTCTTTATTATTCAAACGTTTAGCGGTCTTTCAAACATTAACAGATA